GAGTTGGTTGTCGTCATTGGCATGACTACACAGGTTAATATGTTGTCCTTATGGGTATCACACGCTAAGAGAATGAACCAAGGAATCAGGCAATCCTATTTCAATTGGCCCATCTTCCCAGCAGCAAAGAATTAATTGTGTCAACCAAAATGGATTCAGCTTAAAAAAAAAAAAATTTTGGGACCATCTGCTAGCTGCTAGCGAGGAGAATATAAATATGCCATTCTATTGCCTGAATCCATTAGTGTGAAGAGACCCCAAAATATAGCATTTGTACTAAACGCAATAATTCATATTCATTATACTGAAAACCCTAAGAAGGAATTCTGGGACCTCATTTGGTTTCTGACACCCAAGATGTATACAGCTGGAGTTTCTCAATATTCTATAAAGTAAATCTACACTAAGAGTTTACGAAACGTCCAGATGCAGAATGTGATCCTATCCGTCACAACAGCATTGTTCCACATCACTAATAGTGCACTTATTCATTAAGAGACCCAATCTGTGCTGTGAAGACATTCTTCAAGTGTTGTGCAAAGCCTAAGAGATTAGACTAGATCAAAGCTTCCTTGTGCCAAACCCAATGCTCGTATCAAAATATAACATGAACTAAAAACCCTGGCCTTATCACTTAATGGACAAATTACAAAAAAATTAACAACCGTTCACTGTGGAACTATACCATCTTGTGCCACTACAGAGAACTCCAGTAGGGTAATTCTTCAGCTTGTGCAGGAAATACTAAGGCCAAATCATTTTCTTCTCTTGAACTATGTGAAAGTAGCACACATATAATATCCACCACACTAAATACTGTGACGTTGTATGTGATGTTATTCTACCTTGTTTCCTTTAAGGAGGTGGACACCTTGCTTGGTAAACATTAGAGTGTTTTATTGTTAATATTTAAAATTTTGGTAATGGCATTACTTTGGCTTGCCTACAAGCTGGCCATGACAAGTAGAGGCCATCAGTGAGCACAAGTTGGGAAGTCTGTTCCCCAGGAACAGTTATCTTCACAGCCATTCAAAACAATATGTACAGTGCTGTAAGTGTAAGTGTATCAGTGTTTGCTGGTTACATTTATTGTAGCTTGTGCATAAGGTGAAGCCCTATAATTAAACCAAGTACAAAATCGATTGCAACTTTAATTTTTAGGTTGAATTGAAAGAGGCACATCAGAACATGTAGCACAAAATACACTTCCAGGACACACCGCTTTAAGTGTTTCCGCAGTTTGCAGGCTGTTTGTAAACCAGGGCTTGACTTCACTCTTCTTGGCAAATAAACAATACTCCTCTGTGGTGTTCCACAGATTTAATCTACCATATTCTTTCTGCATATGAAATATGAAGCAAATCATGTAGTATGCTAGTAGTAAGCACCACACACAGTGTTCCTCTCTCCCCATGAGATGAGTGTCAGGGTCTCTGCAGGTAAAAGTGATTGTCTGGAGTCCACCCACACGGAATGGGAGCTCCGCCTTTCAAAATGTTCTTCATAGCTGCTGATGAAGTCACAATGGTGTAGGGTGTCCAGCCGCTAGAGGAAATGACATGAAATACCTTGTCATCAAACATGCATGAAAAAATGTTAAATATATTAATTAAATGTTCTCCATATGAGTGCACTCCATTAGGAAAAAGAATCTCAGTAACCAGAAACCATGATCTTATTGAAGCACTGATTTTACAAGCCTTAGTTAAAGGAGAATAATAACCAAAGCTATTTTGGCTATATTTCTTGGCAAGGACAGCAGATTTTGAAGGTGCAATTTCCAGGCCCCTCATGTTTATACTTTCCCATTCTGGTGTGTCAGCGACATAGAACAAACCTATGCATTGGGTGTCGGGACACCTGATAAACAAATGTATTCCAGGGCCACTGACTCACTAACTGATGAAGATAAATGATGACAGCCCCATCACCTGTGTCTTTAAGGCCTATTGCACACAAGAGTAAAAAATGTTGTTTACTTATCTGAAATGAGAAGCATTGTTGTCTATGGGACTTTGCACATAGAGTAAAGATCAGCATTACAGCGTATAGTACAGAGCAGTGAAACAAAAATACATTTTATATTTGAGTTCAGTAACTTTTGCACACAAGCGTCATAATTTACTGATGTTTACTCAGCAACTTGTGACGCCCATGTGCAATACTGGTAATGAAGAATTTTACTCATCTATACTCATCTAAACTCTTATACACCTTTACTCGCTTATACTCTGCATTACTCAAGTCTTTGCACATAGTTTTTGGGCCCTTGCACATAGACATCACAGGTTCGACATTTGACATCACAAGTAAACATCAGTAAATTATGACACCCACGTGCAAGAGGCCTAACAGAGAAGTATGGGTTTTGGAAAAAAAAAAAAAAAAGTATAGTCACCTAGGTGGATGCAGCATCAGTCCCCCGCCAGCTCTAAGACTGAGAACTGAGAAACAAAAGACCGCTGATCGCTCACTTCTAAGCCTTCAGTGAGCAGAGAGCTGGTGACTGTCAGTCACTGGTTCTCTGCTGTGTCCCTCCAGCATTCACTGGATCACTGAGAGGCTGAGCCAGCTGTCGGTCCAAGCATCTGGGTGGATCCCGACCATATCAACCTAGACTGGCTGAGTGACATCAGCTGACCGCAAGCTAAAGCCCATTGTCACTGAACACTGGTCATAGGAGTGCAGAATGAACTACACTCCTGTGATCCCCAGAAGTATAGCCAGAAAAGCTTTGGCTATACTTCTTCTTTAATATAAGTCAGTAGTGTTAGCACCCACGTTCCACCCTGATAGGTTTCTTTTTCAGTACATTCATGTGGCAGCAACGCAACCAGGTGCTGGATGGCAGAGCACATCCGCCAGTGTAGCAACACCCATTGTGGTCTATTCTACTGGAGCTCCCCCAGCAAAGGGGCAGCAATCAAAATGAACAAGAACTAAATCAGTTTCCACAACCACTACATTTTAAATTTAAAGGATCGGAAACAGATGGGGGGATTTCTGCTTCAAATAAAAATCTACCCCAATGTACTTGTGTATGCTGACATGGAGTATACATTTGTTTCTGGTCTTCACAGAGATATCCATTCTGGGTTTTCATGTTTAGCAGGGTGCAGAATGACAAGCAACTTCTAAAATAAAAATGACATGAATAATTAAGAAAGATATTGCTAATATGAGGAAAACACTCACTTCTGGATCTGACGTAACAATCATTACAGTTTAATAGGCCATTGCGAATCCTGACATCCGTTCCTGTCGTTGCATCACCAAGTTGTCCCTTACAAACTCCACACTAAGTAGAAATAGAAGGAAATATTAATTATAATAAAGAGAAATAAGCTAAAAGAAAATACAGTACGTACTGAGAGAAATATGGATGCTACTATTGCTCACTCCCTCTGAAAATGCTAGTCATTCGGCTGTATCTGGCTCAGCACTTTGACCAGAACAATCACGTAGATTAGAAATTCAGAGTGAAGTTAAACTGCTGATTGGCATACAACAGTCAGTAGTTTAGAAAATATGAAAGACATTGTATCAGCATTATTGGCTGGGCAAACAGCATTTTGAAGTTCCTTTAAAGGGGTAGTAAACCGAGATCTTGTTTTAAAAAAAAAACAAAACAATGGCATAATATGCCAGTATGCATCGCATACTAGCACATTATGTGAAACTTTCCTTAAAATGAAGCCCTGCAGAGGCGCGCTGTTACCTCTGACTGGGCTTCCATCCATCTTCACCAGGTCTTTCTCCCGGGATTCGCAGACTCTGGCGGCTTGAATGGTCGAGCCGCGATGATGAAATATCGCTAAACGGTGCAAGTTTAGGAGATATTTACAATACCTACAGGTAAGCCTTATTATACGCTTACCTGTAGATATAAGTGAAAAAAACGACTTTACTACAACTTTAGGTGAACCTGTGCCCAGGCTATACACACTAAAAAAAACTCACCTTTGTAGCTATAGGAATTGTGGAGAAATTAATCTTCAAAATTCACAACAAAGACACTGAAAACTCAGCTACATTGTGCAAAGAGCAGAATTGGCAGTCTGACAGCCCTCTAATGTAAACTTACTACAGATATTTGTACATTGTTAGAAACTGACTGAAACCAAACTTCAGAGTGAGTTTTTGTGAGCATTGAGGATCTTTGAGAATGAATTACTTCACAATAGCTGCAGCTAGAGAGATCAGCAATGGATTATTTTAAAGCTCATTTGCCATTTACTGGTTGTTAAGAATATATAAATTCTTTAATGTTCACAGTCTAGCCATATATGCATGTTAAAACAACACCAACAATGCAGTCTAATATCAGTGGAAAACAGAAAAAACATTATTATGCCTTGGCAGAAAAAACACCAGATGCGCCTAAACGCGTGCAAATCTGTCTAAACGCAATTATCGCTTGAGCTTTTATTCATTTGAATCGCCAGAATAATTTAGCATTCTGGCCAATGAAATTAATGAATACCGAAATGTTTGACGCATCGGAACACATTTAAACATGCCTAAACACATTTGAAAAAAATGCAGTTTTAGGTGCGTTTTAATGCTGCTTTCTTCTGTCAGGAAAAAGGCATTTGGAAGAGCTTCAATGTGCAAGAGGTCTAAGCTATACTGTAGAGACCACACTGTGGTTATAAAAGGGTTCTTGTTTTCAAGCCCTGGTTCACTCTAGAACGCGGTGCAGGAAGCTCCCGATCTGTGCGCATTTCCAGCACCGCCTTCAAATCGCACTGCCCTCGTGATCTGCAGCGGGTGTCAGTGCAATGTTAACGACACCCCAAACACAGGTCGCAAACACAGTGTGTTTGCCTGCAGCGCAACACATGGTACAAAACGACCAAGCAATCCGGTTGCAGTGGGTTTCTAAAATTGGTGCATACACTACTTTGGTGTGATGCGGTGCCATTTAAAGTGTTACTAAACCCACAACAGTAAAATCAGTCTGTATATGTAAAGTATGCTTGTTAGACTCACTGTGGAACCTAAGGGGTTAATTCTCTGCATTGGGTAAAAAGGCTGTTTGATCCTTTCTTCTCTGTTCCTCCCCCTTTTCAAGTGACCACCTTTATCTCCAGACTGAACTGTAGGCATGAACATGCTCAGCTTGGTGTGTATTACTAGAGAGGTGTTTTTTTTTTCTTGGGAGAGTGCATGTGATCAGTACAGGGCCAATCAGCACTGTCCAGACAGAAGTCAGGGGATTTCCATCCTAGAGCAGAAAGAAAACTCCTACAAGCTTTAGTGTGTGGGAAGGACACAGATAGAAGTCACAAGACTGCTCTAACTGCTGATGAGAAAAGGTATTTAGTTTATATTTACTAAAATAATTGCACTTCCATGTTGTGTGTACTGTGGGAGACCAGATATAGTGAATGCAGGGTCCTGGGTTTAGTAACACTTTAAGCATATTTAGGATGAATGGGCTCAAATCGCACCACACTGAATTGCATGTGAATTATACAGAAATGCAGTGTGCTTCCTGTGCGGTTCATATACAATTCATAGTGTAAACCTATGCTTTAACAATATGTCACAATACATTATTATTAGTAAATAAAGCACGGGGTTGTACCTTGAAACACTGTATGTGGAAATAAAGACTAAGCGTTTCAATGATCATGGCTGCCCCCTTTCCAAGTGGTAGTCCACACGTGGAACACAGTTTCTTTCCACTTACAGACCTGAAAGACAACAAGGCTTCTGTCATGAGTGATACATGATCATGCATATAATTTGCTTTTCTCTTTTCAACACAGAACATAAACACATTTAGAAAATGTGTTATTGACCTTTTGTACCTGTTGGGTGACTGGCATTGTGAAGAAGTAGACTGTGAGGAATTGATGACATCCCTGGTGTTCTCTGGAGGATCCAGTCTGCAAAAAGACAATAAAAGACTTAGAATAGTCATGCTCCAACACTATCAACAAAAAAAAGTCTCTCAGTCTCACAGTATATACAAATGTGATAGAACCGTGGCACAATCTATGTGTGATCTACAATAGCAGAGATGTTCTTGGGCCTTATAATCTCATGAAATCCACAGTAAGCTGAAAAAATGTGTTTGCTGAAGCAAAGGTCAAACATAAGGCCGTGCAACACTTCACTTGCTAACGTGAGCGTTCGAAGGTGCTGGATTATTAAACTCAATGAGCAGTGATTGTTTGTAAAATTGATGATAAGGGGACTTTTGAGGGAGATGTTCTTGGGCCTTATTTCATTCATTTGGAAATTAATAAATCCACTAACTGATGAGAAAAGTTGGTGACCTACCTTATCTACCTAGATGGTTATCTACTTTGGGTTACATACCTATAATGTCCATATCTTCAGAGGTGGGAGATTAGTCTCTGCCAGTTGAAATATATGGCATGAAAGACTATACTAGCTTGTAGTTACTGCAGTCAAGACATTCGTTCCCTAGAAATACTAGTAGGCCCCAAGTGAAGATAGGTTTGAATGCAAAGGTGTAATGTACAGACAGAGACTGCATCTCAGTTTAAAAAAAAATATGAATATGTTAATAGAGTATTAAAAGACATAAAAGATACATAAGACCAATGACCTATGGGGAAGAATAAGTATATCTTCTTTCCCTTCCTCCAGAGCCTGTATATCCACAAGGCAACCTAAGCAGGAGCCTAGGGTCTGGTGGAAATCCAAGGGATCCAGCTACAACATTCATGCTACTTCATAAGGGAAGGTGTATTTAAAGTGTTACTAAACCCAGGCCCCTGCATGCACTATATCTGGTCTCCCAGAGTACACAGAACATGGAAGTGCAACTATTTTAATAAATATAAACTGCTCAATACCTTTTCTCATCAGCGGTTACAGCAGTCTTGTGACTTCAGCAGAGCACTTGTTACAGCTTGTAGGAGGAGTTTTCTTGCTGCTCTGGGAGGATGTAGAACCCCTGACCTCTGTCTGGACAGTGCTGATTGACCCTGTGCTGATCACATGCACTTTCCCAAGAAAAAAAACCTCTCTAGCAATACACACTAAACTGATCATGTGCAGAAGGGCTACGGGGTTCAGTCTGTCTAATCAGTGAGGACATTTGAACAAGAAGAGGGGCAGAGAAGTCAGAATCAAACAGCCTTTTTATACAATAAAGAGGATTAAACCGCTTAGGTTTCACAGTGAGTATAACAAGCATGCTTTACTGCATATACAGACTGATTTTACTGTTGTGGGTTTAGTAACTTTAAAGCCACTTTGGGGTTGATTTACTAAAACTGGAGAGTGCAAAATCTGGTGCGGCTCTGCATAGAAGCTAATCAGCTTATAGGGTTTTGTTGCCAAAGCTTAAAGGAACAAACTGAAGTTAAAAGCTGATTGGCTACCATGCACAGCTGCACCAGATTTTGCATGCTCCAGTTTTAGTACATTTTTCCCTGGTGTCCGATGGGGAGGGACAATTCCAGTACAAACAATTCTAATGAGGTGGCTTCTCTGTGTCTATTGCAATCCTTATCAATGTCAATCAGAGAAGTGGAAGTGCCAAAATTTCTACCTTGCATCTAGTCCTATTCAGTTTTAGTCCATTCCTGCCTTCCCCTGTAATTCTTGGTGAAGGATCTGCGTGTCTACATGCACCCTAAAGCCACTTACTTAACTACTAAAGGAGTGTAAGCTGTTTACAATTGATTTGACTTTGCAAAGAAATTTTTTTTTAGTTTACCTCTGCTAACTTTATTCATTTCATTCATTATTGTAAATAAATAAATCCACTAACTGATGAGAAAAGTTTGGTGACCTACCTTATCTACCTAGATGGTTATCTACTTTGGGTGACATACCTATAATGTCCATATCTTCAGAGGTGGGAGATTAGTCTCTGCCAGTTGAAATATATGGCATGAAAGACTATACTAGCTTGTAGTTACTGCAGTCAAGACATTCATTCCCTAGAAATACTAGTAGGCCCCAAGTGAAGATAGGTTTGAATGCAAAGGTGTGTATGTACAGATAGAGACTGCATCTCAGTTTAAAAAAAATATGAATATGTTAATAGAGTATTAAAATACATACAAAATACATAAGACCAATGACCTATGGGGAAGAATAAGTATATCTTCTTTCCCTTCCTCCAGAGCCTGTATATCCACAAGGCAACCTAAGTAGGAGCCTACGGTCTGGTGGAAATCCAAGGGATCCAGCTACAACATTCATTCTACTTCATAAGGGAAGGTTTACTGAAAGTGTTACTAAACCCAGGACCCGGCATTCACTATATCTGGTCTCTGCCACAGTACACAGAACATGGAAGTGCAACTATTTTAATAAATATAAACTGCTCAATACCTTTTTCTCATCAGCGGTTACAGTAGTCTTGTGACTTCAGCAGAGCACTGGTTACAGCTTGTAGGAGGAGTTTTCTTGCTGCTCTAGGAGGATGTAGAACCCCTGACCTCTGTCTGGACAGTGCTGATTGGCCCTGTGCTGATCACATGCACTTTCCCAAGAAAAAAAACCCCTCTAGCAATACACACTAAACTGATGATGTGCAGAAGGGCTACAGGGTTCAGTCTGTCTTATCAGTGAGGACATTTGAACAAGAGGAGGGGCAGAGAAGTCAGGATCAAACAGCCTTTTTATACAATAAAGAGGATTACCCCTTAGGTTCCACAGTGAGTAGAACAAGCATGCTTTACTGTATATACACACTGATTACTGATTTTACTGTTGTGGGTTTAGTAACACTTTAAAGCCACTTTGGGGTTGATTTACTAAAACTGGAGAGTGCAAAATCTGGTGCGGCTCTGCATAGAAACTAATCAGCTTATAGGGTTTATTGCCAAAGCTTAAAGGAACAAAACTGAAGTTAAAAGCTGATTGGCTACCATGCACAGCTGCACCAGATTTTGCACGCTCCAGTTTTAGTACATTTTTCCCTGGTGTCCGATGGGGAGGGACAATTCCAGTACAAACAATTCTAATGAGGTGGCTTCTCTGTGTCTATTGCAATCCTTATCAATGTCAATCATAGAAATGTCTACCTTGCATCTAGTCCTATTCAGTTTTAGTCCATCCCTGCCTTCCCCTGTAATTCTTGGTGAAGGATCTGTGTGTCTACATGCACCCTAAAGCCACTTACTTACTAAAAGGAGTGTAAGCTGTTTACATAGCAAAGTGAATTTTGACTTTGCAAAGAAATTTTTTTTTTAGTTTAGCTCTGCTAACTTTATTCATCCAATTATTAGTAAGCAAAAACCTTTTTTTTTCTCCGTGCGTGTTTGGGTGTCCTTTGCAAAGTGAATTATCAACACACATTTTTAAGCCAGTTTATCAACCAACAGGCCAGAGTCCATTGATGGACCACAGTTTCTTTCCTTCTGGGACACAGCTTGGTAGCAGTCTTGGTCTTTAGATAGCTGGAAGGTATGTGTGCCTGGATTGTGTACTATACATGTACCAGTGCTGGAGTTTGACAGCTACTAATGTCACACAGTGTTTGTTTACACTCTGTTTGCCTGATTGGTAGATGGAGCCTACCTCACAGGCTAGACAGAGATGTAGAATGTCAAAAAAGGAGTTGATACTGCTAAATAGTAGTGAAACAGGAGTTGCTGGCAATGAAGCACTGCTCCCTCTCTCAGCAGAGGGATCTCAGGAAGATGGAAAAGGGACAGATTAGCAGTCTGGGACACAGACTTCTGTGTAAGGTAAGTGTTTCCCATTGACCACCTCACCCCTTGGGAACTATTTTTCCACCTTACTTCCCTTGGGACCTATTCCTCTTTACCCCCCAGCTGGGAAATTTTGTCCTCCCCCCTTCATTAGGCACTAGAATTCCTCCACCACCTCCACTGGGCACTACTGTTCTCCCTCACCCCTGCTGGGCACACCTGTTCTTTCTCACCACCCACTGTACTCTCTTGTTCTTCCTTACCCCTTGGTTGCATTTTTTTTTCTTCCACTCCCCGACTGACAACCAACATCAGGGTGGTCCTCCCATGGACACTAACACTGGGCATTTTTTAATACCCACTTAGTACGACTCCAGTCATATGTTTCTTTCACTGATGGTGGTGGTTTTGTTTTCTGCCACTGACCACCAACTCTAAGCGTTTTTTCCTTCTCCTGAAAAATGATACTAGGTATTTTTTTTGTCTCTCACTGAGCCAACTGACCCCATAGCACCCCACCCACCCAACTAACCATAGGCCTTTTTCTGCCTGTAACTGACACTGTGGCATTATTTTCCTCCCAGCAATTTATGGGGTTCTATGATACATACTTCTTACTAGTACACTCTCTACATTATGTTGTACATTGCATAAAGTCAAGACTGCTACACTATGGGGTTGATTTACTAAATGCAAATAGACTGTGCAG